GTTAAACTTGCCAGGAGGATGTGTCGATTACACTCATTACAAGTTGTATGATCTAGAAAATTAGAGAAGCGACATAGACTTGTGCTGTTCTCTACTTCTCCCTCATCTTTTGTCACTCACTTCCTGGGCTTGTGATGACTGGAAGATCAGAATCGCTACAGAGACACCTCCATGGATTTAGTTTTCAACAATTTCAAAGCAGAAAAAGGTCCTTTACGATAAAAATGGCTCATTTCTGACAATTTTATTCGAGGACATCAATCCCCATAACCAACAGACGAATGAATTTGGTAGACTAAATATAGTTAATATTCAATAACCATTTAGATTCAGTCGCGTCGGGAGATTAATTACCTTATATACAGATCCAAAACCACCTTGGCCGAGCTCATTGACTGAGGAAAAATTACTTGTGGCTGCAGCTACAGTTTCAAAATCAAAGAGTGGTAGATCTTTTTTTCGTCCACCTTCGCTGTTGAGGTCTTTGAGACCTGGAAGATCGTTGAAATATGCTAAGCTTGTGGTACCACTAACAAGAGGATTGCGCCCTCTTCCATCTGCTGTCATACAGTGGAATAAAATGCTTAAGAAAGACAATGAAAGCAATTGTGTAATGCTTCTTTTTTGGCTGTTCTGGCCAATTTGGGAAATTTTCTGTACAGGAAGGAACAATACAAATTGTTCCTCCAACAATGACCTTATCGCTTGTTCCATAAGATCGATTCACATAGGCTCAATTTCAAGATGAAACGTCATACAGCATTCTCCATCTATCTGCGTCTGTGCAGCTTTATTGGTCGAGGTTTGCGGTATTGAAATCAACCACGCTTTAGCCTAAAATCCTGGCTAGATTAGCTCCAGTTTAAATTTAATCGATTTCTTAACCCTGAAGATCGAAATAAATGCCTACTTGTAAAACAGACAGTAATAAATATGGCAGAAAAAGCTTCTATCAAGGCTGATCACCCACCTCTTTTCCTCTTCGACATAAGGCAGTACATAAGGGAGCCTAAGAGCAGCAACACTAGTGCAGTTACCGATATTATTACCACCATTACCTTCTTGACAAGAGTACTCCTTTTCCGATAGCGAGCTGTAAAAATAAGGCATGAGAAGCGTGCCAATGACATTGAATGAGCAGATATTATGGAAGTTAATGCAACAAGTGCAGTTTATAAGATGAACTATCATAAGCAAACAGTTTCGTTAAGATGAGAAGTAGAGATTGGGACAACAATTACAACCCCAGAACAGCAGCAAAAGTATTTGAAGTAGATATCAGCAATGAGTACCTAAGTCAATTGCATCCACCCGCACATATAAGTCTTGACCCATGTCTGAAAATTCTCTTGTATCGACTAAATCTCCATACCATTTGAGGCATCCAAATTCCCCCATAGTTTCATTTGCACTCGAATAAGCTGTGCAATTGCAATCCCTCAAGCATTCCTGCTCACACTCCTTCAAGCTCAGGCCCATGTCGACATGTGCTGTTGAAGTGTCCGGCAACTTCACCCGTTTCACCTTCACGAAACCTTCCCCACTTCGACACAGTGATACGTTTTGCCTCCTCTTGCACCCGCCTGATCCATCCCTTAGGTACCAATTGCCGGGAGACTTGGGCTCAAAGCCGGGCAGGCATGTGCAGTCGAACTGGTCTGCATTGTTTGCACCACAGTTGCCATTAGGCCCACACTTGCTGAAGTAGTCACACTGCTCCTTTGGATGGGAAGAAAACTCAGTCCACCGCTGCTCTTCATCGTGCCATATGAAGTGTTTAAGGTACCCTGACTCGTCCACCACATATCTAGAGAGAACTGATGCATTGGCGACACCATACATTAGAGAAACCTCCATTGCATTAATCGTAATTGTGATATTATAGACAAAATCATTAGCCATCTCAGGAACATCACCCTGCGGCTTCTCAATTATTGCTCCGCCCCGCCAATATGGAGCTCGATCCTTGTAAAGGAACAACTGTGGGAACCCTGTTGGTTCAAACCCGTATGAATAACTGCCCGGTGCTGGATCGTCTTTGGATTTCCAAGATGTCACGAATCGGTTCAAACCGGTTCTCCGGTCCAACCCAAGCTTCATTTGGATGGAAGATACGTATCTGTGGGATAATCAAAGCTCTGCCAAATAACCACTTTGCTCAAATCATGTTTCAAAACCAGATTACCTGAATCCAAAAGCTGAGCAGTGGAAGAATTATTTAAAGTCATGGACGAAACATTGGTTGACGAAATGGGGAAGCTCCCATTGTTTTCATTGATCACTAAGTTTCCATAGTGATCAAATGCAAGAACCCCTGAAGTGCTATTCACGGGATTCTCTCTGTTCGCAACCCAAACGACGGTTCGCTCCGGTTGTCCATAGTACCAAATCCCCACGTAACGCAAGCTTGAATTACCAGGGCTGAAGAAACCGAGAGCAAATTTTCTTCCTTGGGAGATTAAGACATCACCATCTTTCACGGTATCGTTTGGGGCGAGGGTGTCCAAAGAATCAATCAAATGAAGCAGAAGAAATAAAACCAGGGTGTGCAATGACACTGTTTGAGTGCTCATGTTGTACCTACATGGGGGATGCAGCGTGCTTATGTTTCAGGCAAGAAAGCAGAGATATGGCTTTTGCTTCATAACCATCAAAGCAGAAACTTCTCAATGTGGTCGAGGTTTCAATCGATGAGAGGAACCGCCATTGCTGACCATCCTTCGGTCAATACTGTGCCCCATTGGAAAACGTGCCATGAAGCGGCGACGTCAACGTCAACGTCAACCGTCCAAGATTGACTCTTCTTCATTCCTCTCGGGTTGCTCCTTTTATATATCCAATATAGTTTGCTTGCATTACTTGAATACCAGCGCATCTCTAGTCTTTTTATGCCAACCGTCGGTCGAGATGCATCATCACACAGATAGGTACTCCCGTAGTATGTATTTTCTAGAGTTAGAAGTCAATGGAACATGCTTTGAAAAGAAGGGAACCAAGGGGGAACGCCATCTAATGAGCCAGTCAACATCCTTTTCATTTCACTTTTGAAAGACCCTCCCAAAGGTCTAAGTTAATAGAATTGAATATTTCTCACTGTTATTGGCTGTTGAGTATGTACAATTAAGTTCGTGAAGGATTAGGAAACAGGAAACGCCGTTGCTATGTCGATGCTGGAAGATGAGCAAGGTAAAAAAGAAATGAAATTGTTGTGAAGGGAGGTTCAAAGAAACAGAGACTATATATATGAATATGTGATGATGGTTGCACGGGAGATCTTCAGAATATAGAAATTTAGGAAAAAAGCAAATCAAATGACTAATTTTAGGGTGTCAATGGATCGGGTCAAGTCTTTCATAATACCATGCTCGACCTGTAATCTAGAGGGTCGTGCTTGACCCGACCCGAGATACTGTTCAGTGTACACTCCAAAGAGATGTGCCGGGCCAGGTCGGGCTGGCCCGGGCCGGGTCGGCTTTAATTCCTCCTCTGCTCTATTTCTCTTGCAAAGTCCTCTCTGTCCCGAATGTGGCTTTGGGGAGCCTCCTGGTTCGCATGCCAAACCGTTCACCTCCCCCAACAAATCAGGTGTTTTTGATCAAGAAATCTGTCTTCAAACCGTTCATCTTGATGTTTGAGACCCGTGTCTCCAATTCTCAGTGGGATCCTTCTCTGTGGGTAGATAATCTCCTCTTCATTCAAGCGCAGGACCCACCTTGTTCAATCCTTCTCGGTTGTCTTCCTCTACTGGCTCTACTATGTCTCGTGATTCAACCCTCTACTGGCGCACAAAACACTGTAGTTTGTATCTGCATCAATGGCATCTCCTTGTGGGACATCTTCAGGGTCGTCCCTGGTTCAGAAACCGGCCCCGAGGAGGAATTGCAGGTTGTCATGGACCAGAGGAAGAGGAAGAAGATGGTCTCGAGCCGCGAGTCGACGTGGTGGTCCTGGATGAGGAAGCAGAAGCGCCTGGACGATCTGAGGGCCCAGGCCGCTCAGCTGAGAATGGAGAACCACCAGATCGGGACCAACATCAACATCACCGTACAGTGTGGAGATGAAGGAAGCGAACAGTGAGGGAGGCAAGGGCTATCGGTCGCCTGAAGTCTATGGCAAGCGGAGGGAGCGATCGGTTGTGGGTGGTCCTGAGGTGTCAATGGTTTGGGCCTGACCCAACCCCAACCTTAATACTACCCATACCTAAAAGTCCTACCCGAAGAAGGCTAAGGTCCAACCCCAAAATACCCCAAATTTTAGGGTCAGGCCGGGCCGGACCGAATCGGCGCGGGTCGGATCGGGCCGGGCCGGCGCGGGCCTTTTTTGACACCCCTAACTAATTATTCGCTTTTTTTTTTTTTTATTTTAACCCTTTTATTTTGTTTTAGAAAAGTCAAACCCAAAAAGTTAATTAATAGGTGGGATATTTCAACATTCCCTCTCACGGGGAAGTCGGATTGGGTGAACGAACACGTAAAATAAACTAAGGCGCAATCTAGCTCTAATATCATAATAAAATGTTCGATTCAAAAGTTTAAGTTAATAGATTGAGACAACACATGTCTAAAAAGAGTATATAAATCTCATAATCAGCGATAGGTTCAGGGCTGAGTTGGGCCTTTGGGCTTTCTCTTTTATTTAATTATTTTAAGCCCATAACACGATGTCAAGGACAACGATAAATTCAAGTGATTAACTTAGGTTATCAGTTTAAGGGAGCACTGGATTCTATCATGTGACATGGGAAAATTGGATCGCGTTGCAGGTCTTGTTTTCTGTTTTGGCTCACGTTTCGCCAATAGTCATGTTATACGTATGGTAGACTTGATCATTGCTCTGAGTCGGTACTGTCAGGCCTCGCTATTTCCATATGGTGAAGTAAAAGGATTTAATACCAAATCAAGTTTCAGAGCTCCTGGTTGCTGATCTTTTGAGTCATTGCTGAAGGAATGAGGCAGGCAAAGCTGTTAGCTTACCCAGAAGTAGTGACACTTCGCATGAACATCCAAATCTTATGCATCAAATTATAACAAAAAAAGAAAAAAAATGAAGTATCTGTACACATCTGCGCCCTACATTCTTTTCGTGGATAAACGTATGTATCAAGTGTAACTCTTCTCATCACTCGAGTATTCTTCTCATCTACTCTCCGGAGCTGTGATGGTTATATCACTGGAAAAGTGAAGTCTTTGGACACTTGAGGATGAGTCGGTGCTCATAGCGAAGCTCTCAGCACTGAATCCCGGTTCCTTAGGTTCAGGAATGTCAGAAGTCTCGCTGCCCAACATAAGCACGACCAATGACATCGTCGGCCGGTCTTCGGGTCGCTGCTGCACGCACAATAGTCCTACCTGGATGCACCTCATCACTTCCTTGAAGGGAAATTCTTCCCCCATCAGGGTATCTACTAGTCCAAGTGGATTCCCCTCGGTCCACAGTTTCCATGCCTGGATATACGTGAAAACCAAGTTAATACATATCATACAGCAATAGAAAAAGTGAAGACAGCATCCAATCCGAGCTAAAGCATAAGCAGGGAAATACTTACATGTCCCACGAGATTGAGGTCATGGTCCGGGTGATAAAATCCCCAATTCTTGTGGCCGCTTACAATCTCCAGTAACAGTACGCCAAAACTAAATATGTCTGATTTTACTGAAAAGTGGCCTTTCATTGCATACTCGGGAGACATATAACCGCTGTAAGAAGGAAATAGAGTATCAGTACAGCCACAAATCTTCGAAAATATTCCTTGAAACAAACAACAGAATAACTTACTATGTGCCAACTATCCTATTGGTCATTTCTCTGGTATTTTCTCCATTAAATATTTTTGCAATTCCAAAATCTGAGATTTTAGGATTCATCTCACTGTCTAGTAAGATGTTGCTCGGTTTGAGGTCTCGGTGGATAATTCTCAGCCTGGAGTCTTCATGGAGATAGAGAAGTCCACGTGCAATCCCCATGATAATGCTGAAGCGTGTCTTCCAGGTCACAAGTTTACGTCTATTTGGATCTTCACAAAATTTGAGATAAGTTATAGAGGGAAAAATTGTATAATCTCAAGCAGGTTGAAAAAGTGTAAATGGGGTGATGGTCGTCGCACCAAAAAGGTGGTGGTCCAAGCTTTTGTTCGGCAAGTACTCGTAGATTAGCATTCTTTCATCTCCATGAATGCAGCATCCTAAGAGCTTCACAAGATTCCGGTGTTGAAGTTTGGCAATCAGTATGACCTCGTTCTTGAACTCTTTCAGGCCCTGCCCAGAGGTCAGTGAGAGCCTCTTCACGGCAACATCTTGTCCTGTAGGTAATACACCCTGGCGCATAGCGTATTACATGTTAGTAAGATCGAAGTAGAAAAGAATTATAAAATCATCTTCTTGTATGTGGAACAATCTTCATGGAATTAATACGAGAAAGTGTGACTTTCGAACTACCCTGTATACTTTGGCCAAAAAAAGTACCTTGTATACTTCACCGAACCCGCCCCGTCCAACCTTGTTTTGGAAAGCGAAATTGCTAGTGGCATCAGCAACCGCAACGAAATCAAGAAGGGGTAATTCAAGGTCTTCCTCCGGACCACCATCTCCTGAATCTCGATAAATCAGCATATCCTCTGTGACAGAGGATATAAATCAGCCATCAGCATTAACAAACGCGTATTTATGCACCACAATCTCAAAAATATGACAAAAGGTCCAGCATATCCTGCTGGTTCGCTGAGAAAAGGGAAATAAAGCTAACAGTTAGCAATTAAAGCAACTTTAGGAAGCATTTATTTCCTCAAAGGGATGATCATTTGCTCCTTGAAGTAATTACTATTCGCTCTAACTTGCTGATTAGGAACCCGAAAATAAATATCAGAGATAGTGTTTTCTCAGACTTAAACTGGATGTGATGCTAAGCTAACCAATGTTTTCTTAGGCCCTTATTAAGGATGTTAATAAATTTATAGGCCTTTCAGGTATGCTTTCTTTGAAGGAAATTTTTTTAGCATGTTAAGCAAGAAAGGAACATATAAAGATATAGAGTCATGAACATACTTTCAGCGATTTCTTACTTTTCTTATTCAAAATGAGAGAAGCGAGAATCATGCTGTTTACAATATATAGTTTTATGCTGTGACAATGACTTTACCTCTCGTCCTCTCTTTGCTTCTTCGGAGAGCGTACCAGCCAATGAATGCTAATATAAGCATTCCGCATACAATCGATACAGAGATGCTGACGGTAATTATACGCCTTCTCCTCTTAGCTCGAGCGATTGCATCTGTTCATCAAAAAATTTCAAATTAATCATGTGCTGTCATACTCAAACAGAAAGCTAAGTAAACAGATGGCAATAGTTCTTATCTGTGCGACTGTGCTCTCTACATCGCAGAATATTCAATACAGAAATGTATCTTGTACTCGTCCTTTTATCTAACATCAAACATATTTCAATGCGCAGAACTAGGAGAAGTTATTTGATTGCACATACAGAAAGAAGCATTTCTTAATAAACTCCCAGGGCTTAGAAATCCTATTCAATGGTGACACAAACACAGTAGTGATCGTCTATGAGTCTTATCAATGCGAATATCAACTATAACTATGTCATCACATTCACATAACTAAGAAGGGCTTGGAAGAAGAAAATGGAAAGGCAAGGACATGGATTTCCTTAGAAGCTATTCAACTGAAAGCCTCTTTAAAACTACCGAGAGATGACGAGTGAAAATCACTAAGAGCTAGATGGATTAGTACCTATCTCTGCTCGTGCCATTCGTATATATATCACATCTCCGCCTGAAGGATAGTTCTTCATGTCAACCAAATCCCCAAACCACAAAAGACAATCCCCGCCATTCCCGTGGACATCTACCCTAGTGAATGCCATGCAAGAACAATTCTTCAAACATGCCGTCTCGCATTCCTCAAGGCTCGAGGTCCTATTCCCCAACAGATGCGAATTATCTGGCAGCTTCAAACCCTTGTACTTCACAAAGCCGTCACCATTTCCACAACTCAAACCCCTTGTCCGGGAGCACCCGCCGGTCCAATCAAGGGGGTTTGAATCGTTTTTCTGGAACCCCTTCAAGCACCTGCAATTTGCATCAGAGGAATCATAGCAAGTTCCATATGGCCCGCAGATGCCATAATTATCACAATAATCCCTCTGTAGAGTAACCAAATTCGTCCATTGATTGTCCATCCAAGCGAGATATTGAATCGCACCCTCCGGGGTCACGACGAATCTCGATAGGGTCGAATTATCAACCACCGTGTATGTGTAATACACCTCTTCAGGGCTAGAATTGAACATCGGATCGAAGACCGGATTGGCCTTGAGCTCATTACTCCCACTGAACCTCTCTCCATTCCAGGGCCCCCATCGATACTGCTTCTGGCTCCCTTTCCATAGAATCAACTGTGGAGCATCGGGCGGCTCGAGGCTAAACGTGTATAGGCCGCTCGACGGATCGGTTGCCGAGACCCACGAAGTCATGTTCCGCTTCAAACCGGTCCTCAAATTCCACCCCAGTTTCATCTCCGGCAGCAAAGTGTTAGTTATGTTATCAAAGCTCTGCCAGAGATAGTTCCCCGAATCATCAGAAACACTTGCATCACTCAAAACGAGGTTGCCATTGTCCAGGAGCCTCAAGAACGGCTCATTCACAGCCCCAACTGGGGTCACAGACCAGTAATTTGTGGACCCATTTTGGAGAGACACCGACCCTTGCGAGTTCAGTGCCACTTCTGCTGAGGAATTGGTGATTGGGTTGTTCCTGTTGGCCACCCAAGCGACTTCGAGAGGTATGTTCTTGTACCAAATCCCCAAATACCTGGCAGTCGTGTTGTTAGGACTAAAGAAGCCAAATTCAAAGACTTGCCCAGATGAAACCAAGGTTTGTCCATCCTGCAGCGTCTGGTTGGCCGACAGAGTGTCCGTGGCTTGTGCCAGCGACGATCCAAGAAAGCAACAGAAAGCCAGAAACACGGGAAACACCATGGCTTTGATGGAGAGAGGAGGTTGGCATTCCGTGGAGCTGCAAAATTGCGAAGTGGGAAGCGCATCGCAAGGCCCTTTTTCGCGTGGTGGTGGAGATAGAGAGAGATTGCGGTTCGTGATGTGATGCATTGAATGGTCAGAGAGGTTGATCCAATCGTCGCACCCGACGACAAGATTTTCATTCATGAACACCTGAGCTTTGGAACGGTCAAAGGTGGCGAACGTGCGAGTTCACATGAAAATTTGTCAGAGCAAGAGGATCGTCGTCGAAAACGAATGACACAGTGCAGTGCACTCGTGTCGTGCTTTGCTTCCAGAAGTCAAGAAGGAAGACCGCCAAATCAACACGGGCCGGTTAAAACAGTCCGACTCGGAGCCAAATGTGTTGAAAATGCATCGTCGTTCCACGACGGCGAGGTCCGCCACGTCAAAGCCGTCCGCGAGGCCCTCTCTCTCTTTCTCTCTCTCGAAAGGTCACCTGCCCGCATTGAATATGACGCGGAAAAATCACATTCCCCGTCCCTCATTTAATATTATTGTAGAGGTAGAGTAATACCGACCTACCAAGATATGTTCGTCTTGAGTGATCGGACCGCCACAAAAACGGTTTTATGGTGAAAACTAACCGGAATGACTATAATTGGAATTTCCCGCGAAGATTTAGAATTAAATTAATAAATGTAGAAAATTTAGAACAGAATTAGCATTTATGCAATAGGTTTAGGACTGATTGAACAATTTTCTCGAGAAATGGACAAGTGGATGATATAAAGTTACCTCGATAGTGGAAGTCTGACCAAAATAAAAAAAACCTCAATAGTGGAAGAATGGAGAGACTATTGTAATCAGTTCATGCATCAATTTGCTTGTATATGTTTTGGTGGTTAGGGAAAGTAATGTTTTTACAAGAATTTTTAAGAAAATCAAGGATATGTTGGTAAAACTACGCGTTAGATTGCGAAATTCTCTAGGATTTCTTTTCAATTTTCAGATAAAATAATTAGATGGATGGGTAAAATGCACCCTAAATCCATCTAAGGTATCTAAATCTAATGGATTTTATGTAAAACCAAGTGGAGCTACCTTATCAAATGGTGCATAAGGGCTTATAATGTGACGCTTCAAATCTCATATTTAGAGGGAGAGGATATTTTGAGGGACAACCTTTCCCCAAATGGTCATCATCTCGCATCCCCTCTTCAACATCTTATAGGTTAAATTTCACCTTATTCTTATGTCCAAAGAGAACTTCTAAGCTTTCCTTCCCCGTGTCATGTACAGGACCTCCAACTCTTAATGCCTGATAAGGATGCATGATCTGTTGTATTTGACCTACCACGTATGATGGCCATGGAATCATAAAACTTGTAGAGACCATCTTGCACGCATAATGAAGTTAATGTAGTGACACACTCACATGGAAGAAAATCCCATCGCAATCAGAAGTTAGCTGTTGGTACAGACTTTGGACTAGGGAGGTGTTCGCGCCGGCATTATATAAGGTGATGCGGAGGATTTCCTAAAAAAATGTGAAACCAATTGGCTGCTCTCATTATTTTGGCAGCCACATTTCAAAAATCATGTGAGAATATTAACTTCTTAAATGTTAGAATTCGATGACGTAATTCCCATTACTCATGGACCCATTGGCCCGTGACAATACCGTATGTGTAATTTAAAAGGCTGATCCATAACTTAGAAGTTAAAGAGATTTAAAAAGTTACTTGTCGACAGCAGATGCATCAACACCGCCCTTTTCTCTATTGCACAACAACTTGTGGTTTTTTTTTTTTTTTCGGTTGTTCGTGAAACGGGCCTAAACTGAGGCTGTAGAGCTATCAAGCATAGTGAACAAATGGGGTTTTTAATGAAGCTAAAGGGTTGATCGGGGGCAAAACAATAAATGCAAGCTCCCACTAATTGCCCCTCTCACCTAACTCGAACGACTACTTGTACGCAGCACTAAACTTGAAAAGCTCCCCTAGCCCTAGACACTTCTGCATCATGTCTTGCTTGGTACCTCCTCAAGTGGCCCTTCCACTTGAACGATTCGCCGGAGAATTCGATGTCAAATAATGTGCAAATGGCCTTCTTGAAATCATTGGCATTATTCTCGAGCCAAAATGTCCTCCACATCTCAAACGTTCTTCTCCGCTTGGCCGGTGCTGCTGTTGCTTGGCAGTTTATCTCCGGTATGTAGGGTTTCGTATGGGGAAGTGTCTTGGCGCAGACTAGCTTCCGACGTTTGCCCTTACAATTCCTTCAAATCATTAGATCGTTCGGTCTAATGGTCATCAAACTTGGCTTGTTGCGGGGAGAGCTGATATGAATATGTTGTTGTTGCAGAAGTCAATAACCAAGTCCGAAGACAATTGTACATTGTTGTCACAGAAGTCACTAAACAAGCCCCACAACAATTGCATGGTGAAGTCCGGGTTGATTGGGACGATCAAAACCGATCGCCGGTGGTAATATCCTCCATTACAAAATTTAGAATGCGATTAAATCACTTTCAGGAGAAATGAAATTGACAAATCATTTTGTAGAGCAAATTGTGAGAAAATGGTATATGAGTGAGGATTGAAGAATGGTAAAAAATGAGAGCGGGAGGGAGCCGATTTATAGAGGGGAAATTTTTTCCCCTTCCACCGGCTGACCAATGGGTGTTCAACGGTCGCTGGATCACTAATCTTGTGACGGAGACCCCACAATGTATTTAATGTTCGATTGGAAGCCTGAAACCATAAAAAAGAATGTTGAGCCCAGGCCAGTCCATTAGGACCTCTAGATCATTTAGCCCGCCACCCAATGGTTCGTGCCTGGGTATGGTCCTAGTTGGGTTGAGCTCGCACAATCTAGTGCCGACTCCTAACCGGCAAGCACGAGAGGTTTGTTGGTGTTCAGTATTCTTTTTGTAGAGAGAGAAGTGTGACATAGACGACATGTCATACAATATGTGGATGCCAACGTGTCCAAACAAATGGCATCATTCTTCACGACAACCGCCACCATAACGAGTTTTAACAGACGGATTACATTGAGAAAATTTCCGAAAATTCAAAAATCACATTGAAACAAAAAAAAAATTCAAGAACCATACTGAATATTGAGAAAAAGTATAAAGACCTTCTGTGTCGTCACTTCTTGTGTATTGAAGACATAGCACCATAATAACCAAATTATTTTAATGACCTAGACAAAGTGGGAAAGCTTGTCTTCTCGATGCCAAGGTCCTTACGTGATTGGCATGAAAAAAAAACCAACGTTGAAATTTAATAAGACAACTCCATTACGACATTCTCTAGTTTCTAGAAAGGAAAGAACTCCTCGTAAAGAAAGAAAAAGCATCCTCTGCTGCACGTGTTACGAATTCCTGGTCAAAGAGTAAACTGGGATAATACACTATACTATGGCTTGTTGCAGCTAAAGGCAATAGCCCAAGCGATTCTTAGTATTATTTATGTAAGGCATGAACGTTGTCCGCACGATTGACTGGCATGAGCCCGCAGTTTGAATGGAAAAGTCGTTTCTCACAGCCTTTATCTTGTCTTCTACCTTCTTTGCATCTTTTATCATGTTTTTCTTTTCCTGCTCGAGTATTATATTGAAGCCATGAATTGATATAGCCCATGAAAACCTCTTTGTTTTATTGTTTACTCACTTCCAATCTTTCTAACTTTTCAATTACTCTTTATAGGTGCGGTAAACGTCCTCGTCCTTCGTCCTCTTTTCAATTTTATCCTATCTTTTTAGGTTACTAAAATAAAGAGTAAATGACACGATTGATCATTAAATTTTGGGTTATATAGCAATGTGGTATTCAAATTTTTAATTTATTCAATGTGATCATTGAACTTTAACCCAATGCGCAATGTTGTCTATGAACTTTTAATTTATTCAATGTGATTCCTGAACCTTTTATACATGTTCAATCTAGTCCACAAAACAAAAATATTTAATGTTTTGAATATTTTCATATAATAAATGGACTAATTTAAACATTTACGGAAAGTGTAGGGATCATATTGAATAAATTAAAAGTTCGAGATGATTCTTGCATATTAAGCCAAAATTCAGTGACCGAATTTAACATATTAAAATTTCAGGGACTATATTGCACATTGGGCCAAAGTTTAGAGACTATCTATATCATTATCCCTAAAATAAATCCTTACCTCTTGAACTCATAACAAATCTATCGCAAGGCAAAACTTCAAATCTATGTTTTAATTGCCCTTTTGCCTGTTTTAGCATTGTGTATTTACGAATTCGCATTGAGACCGTATTTTGTTAAATTTTTTTTTTATTTTCTATTCAAACAAAAAAATGTAAGAATTTTAAATAAGTAAAATAACTTCTATAAAGCCAAGTAAATATTTGTCCGGTTTAAAAGATAAAAGACATAAAGGGGTGGGAGAAAATCCCACAAACAAACAGAAAAACAAAAGTAGGGACATAATTGAAACTCCATAAAAAGAATAATCCTTCTTACAATTGGTGCTAAAGAAACTCTAGTAGATTTGAAATAAATTCCAAACATTGAATTCTTCTGTTTTACAGCATTGAAAGGTCAGATCAAATCAAAAAAATCTTTGAAAGGTTGAGATATATATTGTCATTTTGCCTTCTTTCTATTCTGAACTGCTTCAAAAGTAATTGGACATAAGTAATGCGCAGTCGCTGTGTTTATTCAAATGAAGCTCGATGTTTCGGTTTCACAAGGTACATTGTTTGGGCGACATATAAACCGAGGCTTTGCTGCTGTTCTGTGCCTTGATTTACCATGGAGAATAGTTCTCACTTCTCACGCTGACTGAAACATGAAGACGGTGAAGTTAATTGAATCATCAACAACCTAGTCTTAACGGTCTGTTACTACCATTGAAGACGATGATCCTTGCTCTATACTTATGTCTGCTTCTGTGCAACAACCATTTCTTTGTTTTACAAAAAATTGACAGGAAATTGGTCTGAGCCGGTCAAGAAATCACGATCGGCAAAGAGCAAAACCGATCACTGCAGCATTGAATTGCAGTTGCAATTGCAACAATGTTTCTGTTTTCTGTGAACTTCATCACATTGCTAGTCACTGAACCGTTTGAGTTGTAGTGTGTCAATGTCAAAGACTTTTTCTTCATGTCTGGACCAAAATTGACAAACCCCCCTCTCCTCTCTCCACAATAACAAATACAAAAGAAAATTTCGAAAATCAAAAGAAACTAAATAAAAGAATTGAGCAGAAGGAAGGACTAAGAATACATATATATGAACAGAAATCTTTGGAGTTTCAGATGTACAAATAAATTGGATCAGGGCATGACAACAATCTCTATCTGGC